CCAAAAGTGCTAACAAAGCAAAAAAGACTGCCAACCATCCAACAAAAACACCAAAAGATTTAACGTGCCAACAAAAAACAAAACACGAACATTTGCAAAAGAAGGCCACAAATTTGCAACAAAAAACAACAAGCGATGCCAAAAGCAGAGAAAAAGAGCAGTTGCAATAAAGCCCCCCTATAAAAGCTAGGACTTTAAAAAAAGCAGAACAAGCAACAAAGGAAAAGACCTGAGCAACAGCATAGCAACGCAGCGCACAGCAGCAAAACCCCCAAGAGCGACAGCCCAGTTAAAACTGGTACAGAAGCTTTATGTCTCTTGTCAATTCCCTATCCGGATGGCTTAAAACATGCGTCGAAAACTGTCCCCTGACTGGGAGACTAAATTAGAGTAATGAAAAAGGGAACCCGAGGGGGGTTCCGAGGATAGGGGGGTTTTCATGCCTCCCAGCCCTTTATGCTAATCCCAGACCCCCGCCCTTTTGGGGATCAAGGGCCTAAAAACCCAAGCCTTCCCGGTATCGTCAAGGGATTCCCCGCAAAGGTTTAGCAGACCCACCTTCAAAACTGAAGTTCCAACAGGCTGAGTTATGTCATTATAAATTCCCCCTGTCGTGTGGCTTAAACCTGAACGGAAAAACGTTTTTTTTTTTTTTTTTTTTTTTTTTAGAAAAATCTCCATACCCCGAGGGCAGCAAAAATTTTTACCGGAAAAAAAAAAAAAGTGGGTGAACGGGGGGAAATTTTATACATTACTAAAATTTTAAAAACAAAATACAATATACAATAGTGAAAATGTTTTGTAAACTGACAAATTTAAGACTGACAAACTTGTGTAATAATTGGAATCTTTTTGAAGGAAGCTTCCGCCACCAGGGGCGAAAAAGCACGACTGGCCCAAAAATTTTTTCAAGAGATTCCCAAATATTGTACAATGTCTCGTTTGCAACTTCTGTAATGTAGCAACAATCCGATTTTAAAAACTTCAAAGGAAGAAGAAATTCACGAGCCGGGGACGACCAGCCGGCGACGACCACCTGGGACGCCAGCCTGGCGACGACCAGCCGCCCCCAGCCTGGCAGACCACCGGCGACAACAAGCCTGAATATCTAAAAAAACTCTGCTTTTCCTGCATACCTCCTACCTGGAGTCTACCTGGGGTATTCCCGGGATCAACCCCCCCCCCGGCCCGGGCCTGACCAGACCTCCCGGGGGCAGGACTAATCACCAGGCTTTACCTGGGCCCCGGTCCCTCGAGCCCACTGACTAAAAAACAATCCCTAAACGTAACTCCTACCCAACATAAATTTACGAAGAGGCCCCGTCGCTGGCCTACTTGGGAAAAAAAAAATCATTGCTAATTCCCCTAACACACACACCACACACACACACACACACACACCACACACACACACACCCGCACACACACACCCCACACACACACACACACACACAAACCACACACACCACACACACACAACACACCACCAAAACACAACACACAAACAACACACACACACACACACACACACCAACACAACACACACACACAAACACACCACCAAACACACACACCACCCCACCCACACAAAACCCCACACACACACACACCAACACACCACACACACACAAACACACACAAAACAAACCACACAAAAACCGCACGCACGCACCCGCACGCACGCACCACACACACAAACACACACCCACACACACACAACCAACACACACACCACACACTACACAGGGACTTTTTTATATTTTTTCAGCATAGAGTTGTCACAAGTGGAAAAAGCCTAGCAATGAAGTGTGGGGGCAGGGAAACCCTACATATTTTAAAAAAGAGGTAGACAAAGCTCAGGAAGCAGAGGAGAAGGACCCCGGCGATCGTTAAAGGCGGGGGCCCGGGTGAGTCCGAACCCTTTAACCACAATTAGGTAGTACAATTAGGTGAGTA